TTTGCCCACTGGTGTAATATTCTAAATCATGGTAATAAAGTAATTATGATGAAGTATTCTGTACTGCTGAGGACATGGGACTTCAAATTTTTACCAGGATGTGAACAGCCAGCATATTTTCAATGAGAACATACAAGCTTGCAAGCTGAGTTTTAAAGAAGTAGATGTGTGCGAAACTTATTGTAAACATTAGGTCAGTTCCTTTGACTTCGCAGAGAAATACACCTGGAAACAAAGGTTTGCATACAAGGTCAATATTTGTGGAAAGAAGACTACTAGACTTACTCTACTAACGATTTAAATGAAGTTGCATTCCATGCACGTTTGCAAAGTGTCAAACAAGACGTCTTGTTTACCGTTGAAATGTTCCTGAAGCTATACATGCCTACTTACAATGAAGATAAGAAATTCACATACTGTTGGAAATTGATAAAGATCTGATTCAGTTTAATGAAGATTTACAAAGATAATGATGGTCATGAGATTGGATTAAAGTGTCTGCAAATGCTTTTCGTTAGCTTGAAAATAGTTTTATCTGAACCATCCAAACCTTCGAACTTCACTATATGGTTGTAGTTTCTGATGGCATATCTTATAGCATCTTTGTCATTTACTATGGTTATTTTTGACTCAATAGGAGATAGAATAGTTTTGCCATAAATACTGTTCAGAATGAGCTTTATATTTTCTTGCAAAGGATTTCCTTCTTTCTTATACTTTAACCTTAACTCAAAAACTTCTTTACTTCATCTCTTATTCTAATATCTCTGTTTCCATCGTAATAGTATCCTTGCAACACTTCACATTTGACACCTTGATATTTTATGAGGTCTTGTAATGTTTATATGGTCAACATACATTAAACAGGCAAGTGTTTGAACTTCTGGAACGTTAAGTTCTGGATTTAGCTCAGGGTCACAAACTATTAAAGGAAAGTGTCTATGTATTCCAATCTCTGTTATCTTAATGAGAACAAAGAAGCGCTGACATAAACTTTTCACCAATGGGTTCCTTTTGGTCGTCATCGAATAAATGTCTCATGAGATACTCTGTGCTTAACATCTCATCCTTCAATACTTTTGGAATTCCTTCTAAAGTATACAATCTTGCTATAGCGGATGGATATAATGAAACAGCGTCGAAGTCAGCAATGAGTTTCTTTTCGCTCTTTTGTTTCATGTTATCTGACAGCATACATCTTCCACCTTGAATACAGCGTGAAATAAATTCTCTTGGTTTATTTGAGAGGTCATAAAGATTTCCATTCGGAAGTACACTCTGTTTCTCAAACAATTTGTTAGCAATAGAACAAATACTAACGTAGTCATATACGTTTAAATCAAACTCTTTCAATATGTCATTGCGGAACTTAACAAAACCTTCTCTTAAAATTCTTACATCTTGTTTGCAGTAAAACGTGCTATATTTTTCTAAGTCGAAATGGTTTTCATCTATTCTGCAACCTTTGATGGAATCTATGTTTTCATGAATGTATCTGCATCCTGGATAAACTTACATGCTTCAGAAATGACACCAGTTCTGTTGTCATTTGCTAACAAAACTGCTGTAGTAGTTGTATGGAAATACTTCTTTCGGTCCTGTTTGTAAGTTAAACATAGCAGGAAATAGTTTAAGCTTCTTATTTATAACACTGTAAGAGTCTTTTATAATAATTGCCCGTCCTTTATATAAGCCAGTTATTTGCATTGTTCGTGAACCTTTAATGATGGGAGTTCCTTTCACTTCTGTCATGTGTCTTAAGATGAAGTTTATATCATAGCTGAGGTTATGGAAATATATTAAACTCTTGTCAGGAAGTCGCTCCAAAAATTCTGTTGCACAGTTTGACCCCAAATGCTTTCACTCACTGAACCATCTTCACTGTCGTAACAGATGTTAAAAGCTTTATGAAAGCCATCCGTACTACACTCAAAGTCAGCAAAGAAAACGTGCTCAGGAATGAACTTACATTTAGCTTTATTTACTTCTTTTGACTCTGCTTTCTTCTTCAGTTGTACACAATACTTTGGAGCATATGTCAAATCTTTAAATGGTGCAAGGTTCTGTTTATATAAGTCAGTCGTATATGTGAAAAGTTCTCCATAAGAAATAGGTTCGAAATATTTGCACTCCACAATGTTTTCATAACATCCCATAGCGGTGTAGTTCTATCCATGCGAACTACATATTTATCTTCTCTCTTTGTATAAATCTTCATCTGTTTCTCAATGTTCATTCCACCACAAGCTTTGAGAATTTCTTTATAGTTTCGAATGAAGTATGTTGTCATTGGAAGTCTTTCATTTAGCATGTAGTGGTCTTCAACAAGAAGTAAGTCAATAGTTCGAGCAGTTTCACATTCTTTTGGTATGTATCTCTTTATTTCATTATGTCTTGAGTCATTGAAATAACCAATGGTAACATTAAATGCTATACCTGTTGCGTCAGAAATTTCTTGTACTTTACTTTGAGGAAAGTCTCTAACACGAATGACTTCTCTCATGTGGTCAATAGTCTCTCCATCTACTCCAGCCTGAATGCAAGCATAAACGAAACAATTGTCTTCTGTCATAAGTGTTGCAGTTCTTTTGTTCAGTTCATTGAAGATTTGGTAGCGCTCAAGATTTATAGGTAATGTGCAAAGATACTTCCAGAACTGACCGCTTCTCTTCTTATAAAACTTCTTTTCACCAAGGATTTCATTTCCAAAGTCATCTATATTTGTTTATCCTGTTTGTTTAAGAGCTTCAAAATCTTTTCTGTCTTTGTCAGTGTGCTTTCATCTCTATATGGTCGCTTCTTTGGCTTTCCTTTCTTACATCTGACATCGTTAAGCCTTCATATTCTGTTAAATCATACATCTTTATTTCGGTAAGATTCTTTATGTTTGTCAAGAAGAAGTCATAGTGCATTTCAACAATACCTGCAGCATTTGCTTCTATCTCTGATATAAAGTTCTCCTTCAAGAGCTGATGTAGTAATGTTCCAATATTATTGAGGTTTAACGTAGAACATTCATACTTTCCACCAAGTTTATAACATACCATCCATCTCTGTTGGAGTTTATTTTAATCTTCTCTAAGAGTCTCATGAAAACCTTACCGAAATGTTTGTGTAAGTAGTCTCTGTTTGGTTCATCTAAAGCTTCGATGTTAAAGTCAATGAGTCTATTGCCTGACTTCACATTTCTCTTCCTATTCTCTTCATCTTTCTTTAACCATCTCTCACCTTCTTTTGGTTTGTCGTCAATGGAACGAATGACATCGTTAGCTTTGCGAACTTGTTCTATAGCGCTTTAAACATCTCTCTTCTCTGTTGTTTCAGTGTGTCGTCTCTCTTTCGTGTTTCACCAACGTTTGCATTTGTTATGTCAAACATTTCTCTTCTTACTTCATGAGGTACTGAACGTCTATGATATAAGTCAATAGCAATGTCATTTAAAGGAAATGCTCTTGCATGGACTTCGTCCTCGCCGCGTTGCGGCTTTATGAACTCATGAATTCTATCATAACTTATTGCACCATTATAGTCATTGAGGATGTCAGCGAGTGCTTTTTTGTTTGTTGCGTAATGCTTTGCAACATCTATATTAGCTTCTGTAAGAAGTTGTTTTATTTCCGAGTGTTCTAACTTAGACAACTTCCGATACATCTTTAGTAGGAAATAAAAAAATATTTTTTGAAAAAATTAGATTAGATTTTTTAAGTTATTTTTCAAAATAATTTAATATTTTTATTTTAATGAAACACATGCAAGATTGCAAGTTCTTTTCATACAATGCTCTCGCTAATGCCATCAAGAATGAGTTCAATAATGCTTCAAATGTTAATGTTATCTTTAACAAGAAGTTTGTGAAAGAATCTAAGTTTGGTCAGTATGTCAGACCATTAGCTATCGTCATTGACCGCAAACGTTATACTTCACAAGAGTTAGCAGTAGTTTTGAAACAAAAGAGTTTCTTCGTGAATGTCAAAGATACTCATTATACTGTCATAAAGAACTCTAACATTGACTTCTTCAGTATTGCTATGAACTTTCCGAACAGAAAGAATATAAGAAGGGTGAAACAAATGTGAAATATTATCCTTCATCTCTGAAGACAATAACGAACAAAAATGTTATACAGAAATTCTTACCAAAGGTTGAAGAAGCTTCTATTGACATTGACGAAGGAAGTGAAATGGTTGAAGAAAGATAGACCCCTGAAGCTATTTAAGCAAAAATATATTTTTGGTTAGTCTTCATATCGATATTTTACAACAATTCCCCAATGTATAAACTTTTCATACGCTTTTTCATAAGCTTTATATACCTTCAGAAATTTTGCATAATCTTTAGAAGCATTTAGATATTGTTTAAATGCTTTGTATGTCTTCAGAAATTTTGCATAATCTTTTACATGTTGTTCGTTCTCTTCTTCTGTCATGAGTTCCGAATATTCTAAATTCATGTTCTTTCATATGAGATAAAATTTTATAAAAAAATAAAATTAGCTTAGATTTTTTTCATTCTTCCTCTTTGAAGTTATCGAAATATTCTGTTATTTTTTCCTTCAGTAATGGTAAGTCTTCTTTGAATGTAAGTATTGTGCAACCTTTGATGTCATAGTGTGTTTGAGGAAGAGTATTTTGACAATTTCCTTTATTTGCTCATTCGGTGTCATTGAAATCGGTAAGTTTTCACGATAGAACCAGTTTCTGTCAGATTTATATATCTTAGCTAAGTCGTAAAAGCTCTTGTTGTTTCTTCTCACTAAATGCAACATAACCATATCTCTTCTTCTTCTTTCTCCATCTCTTCAGTATATATCATATACTTATAACTCTTTTCCTTTCCTTTTGGTACTGAACGCGGTATTCTTTTCTGTATGCTTTTGTCTTTGGATTCAATGACTTCATCTTTTGCTTGAAGTTTCTTTTCCATCTCTCCACGTTCTGCTTTATATAGTTCATCTAACATCATGAAAATATAACAAGCATAACGAGGTGAAGCCCACATTGCTACAGCGTTTACTAAAAGTCTATGAACATAATAACCTTTCAAACCAGGAGCCAAATTCTTGCGATTTTCGTACGGAATCTCTTCTCTCGGTTTTCCGAGGGAAGCAATCATATGAGGAAATTCTTCTAAAAGTTCTTTTGTCTGTTGGTTTTCAAACCAATGATATGCTTGCTTTGTAGAACGAAGAGCATTCATTATACTTTGCATTTGGTACATGTCATCTTTGACCGAACGAATGAGGCGAAGTTGTTTGTTATATTGTATGTACTCGTATTCTTCATTTATGGCTTCATGAACGATAGCAATTGTTGTGTTCTCTAATGTTGTCATTACTGTCTTTACATACAAAATAAAAAAATAAATAAAATAAAATTAGCGTTATTTTTTCTGAGATAAACACTATTTCTTCACAACATTAAATTTTATCCTGTATGAAATGACTTTAAAAAGATTATTGACTGACTTCGAATACTATCTCATTGACGCACTGACAGACCCTCAAAACTGTGTTGAAAGTTCTTTAAGCTTTAAGATTGAAGGTACGACGCATTTTGTCTTCACTTACGTATTGAAAGAATATGACCGTTATCATAACGAAGTGAATCAAACACTAATAAAATTTGTAGATAAAAAATTGGTTAACAATGAATATTTTAAACGTGAAGACCCAAACACTGCTGGAGATGATGAAGAATACAGACAAGTTATTGAAAAAAATAACGCAAGATTAGATGCAATAGAAAAGAAGTTTAATGAATGTCTTACAAACACGTATGAATATCTTATGCGGTGGGAAGCCAGATGGAAATAAATTTACGTCAAATATGCAATTTATAAAATCTTATGTCGACAGGCTACGTAGCACAGTGGTCTAAGGTGGTGTTATGGGGGGTTAGGGTCTGTGGTTCGAACCGCGACAGCGCCGTATTTTCTTATTTTCTTTGTTTGTCTTGTTTGTCGTGAATAAAAAGTGTCATAAAAGTGCTCTATCTTCCACGGGAATAAATAAAAAATTTACTTTATTTCTTCTTTATTTCTTTGTTCCCGTGGAAGAAGGGTTTTGCTGTTTTTCTCAGCCGAAATCAATGATTTTTTCATTTTTGGAATCCTTAGCGAATGAGGAATCTTTTCTCTCGTGGAAGCTTTGACCAAAAATATAATTGAGGTGAAGAGGTGAGATCTCACCTGTTTTTTCACCTCTTTTTTCACCTCTTTTTTCACAAGCGTTTTACATGAATTGTACGATGTATATTTGAAATCCTAAACAATTTCGTAGCTTCTATTTCTTCTGTCAGTATGTCAAAAGTTTTAACAATACCGAAGGTTTCTTTATACTTCTTCTTGACGTCAGACAGAAGGAAATCTTCTGCTGTTGGATAGTTTTTGTTCAGAAATGCTAACATGTCCATTTTATCTTCTGCTGGCTTTTCTGCTTCTTTCTTTAAGTCTGCATAGTCGTTTCGCATACGTTCTATCTCTTTGACTGAGTAGTTATATTTTCTTATTCCTGCTTTACATTTTGAACATTGCGGGTTCATTTTTGCGTTATACATTGAAATAAAACCAGCTAAAACAACTAAAGCGTCAATTGCTCTCTTCATCTCAAACATAGCGGGTCTTATTTGTTCGTTCCATACTTTGCCTCTTCTATCTTTATCTCTTATTTCCCAAACACATTTTGCAACTAATGAAACAAAGTTATCGTAAGTCTTAAACTCCTCAGATTTATATATGTCAGAAATGTTTTTATAAACCATGTCGCAATCTTTGTCCATAACTTTATGGTTGCAATGAAAACCAAGGAATTCATAATTTACTTTACGTATGAACTTCTTTATTTCTACTGAATCAGTAACTTTAACTTCAATTTCGTCGAATTCAGGAATAGTTAGTTTTTGCTGTTGGATTTCAGGCAATTTGGGTAAATGGTCAATAATGTCCTGCATTTCATAAAGATATTCTTCATTTTCTTCATCCTGTGCGGTACAGTCTAAATTACTTGTTAAAAGTTCTTGCTTTATTCTTTGTATTTCTGTTTCGAAAGTAAATGAAGAAGGAATGAAGTTTTTCATCTCTACTAACATAGATGTTGGATTCATGACTAACGAGTTTGGTGCTGTTGTTTGAATTGTTGTTGTGCCGATTGTTGAAATCATATCTTTTATACAAAATAAAAAAATAAATAAAAATAAAACTAACTTTATTTTTTCTGTCTTAAGGAAATTCATGAAAATTCACGGGGGTGAAAAAACAGGTGAGATCTCACCTCTTCACCTAAACATTCTCGTCAAATACAAAAAAATACAAAAAATGACACTTTTTCATTAGATAACTGTTATTTTTTGACGAAGTGAAGAGTAACACTTCGTTCATTTACTCACAATATTTTTGTACAAAACGACCCCAAACTTTTAACTTCTTTTCTGCAGCTTCAAATGCTATCTTAGCGAGTTCATATTTTCTAAATTCTCTCTTTAAATCTTCTTGTTCCCATTGGTCTAGTTCGTATGGAGAATCTCTATAACCATAACATTTCTCACGTTCATGTTCTAATTGTTTTCCACATTTTTCCAACTTCTTGTTCGAACAAAGGTTTAGCATTCTCTACTGTATCTTCGAGTTCTTCTTCATCTAACTTCTCATGAACTTTCTTGTCTATGGAGTCCATAATTTTTCCAACTGCTATGCAATATTTTGGTGAAGCCCACATTGCTATATAGTTTATAAGTCTTGGGTCTACATACGTTCCTCTAACCTGTTTGATTTCATCAGGAATTCCTGCATGAATTTTGTATAAAAAGCAACCGCCGGAATTCAGACGGTTGCTATATTCTTCACAAAATGCCTTATAATACTCTTCCAGGACTTATTTTCCAACAACTTTCTAAAGTCTTTCCTAAACTGCTGACACATATTTGTTGCATTAATGTAACCATCCTTGTCTCTACGTAAGACTTCAATACCGTTATAAGTGCCTTTTGTGAATGTTTCGCCATTAGATTTGTTCGTGAATGTTTTTGCTTCGACTGACATTTCTGTTCTTACATACAAAATAAAAAAATAAATAAAAATAAAACTAACTTTATTTTTTCTGTCTTAAGGAAATTCGTGAAAATTCATGAAAATTCGTGAAAATTCATGAGGTGAGAAAAGAGGTGAGAAAACAGGTTAGATCTAACCTTCTACCCTAAACATTATTTTTGGTCTTTTGTGAAAATTCATGAAAATTCACGGGGGTGAAAAAACAGGTGAAAAAACAGGTGAGATCTCACCTCTTCACCTAAACATTATTTTTTATTTTTTCTATCTTAAGGAAATTCATGAGAATTCATGAGTTTTTGACGAAGTGCAAAAGTTCACTTCGTGTCATAATGCAAAAAAATAATGCTGAAAACACACAAAATTCATGAGTTTTTGACGAAGTGCAAAAGTTCACTTCGTGTCATAATGCAAAAAAATAATGCTGAAAACACACAAAATTCATGAGTTTTTGACGAAGTGCAAAAGTTCACTTCGTGTCATAATGCAAAAAAATAATGCTGAAAACACACAAAATTCATGAGTTTTTGTGTGTTTTAGACCATGTTAGAAAACAGGTGAGATCTCACCTCTTCACCTAAAATATATTTTGTCTGATTTACATCTAATGAAAAAGTTTAGAAGAATTTTCTTATTCTTTCTGGCATATTTTTGTCTTTCCAGTACTCCCGCTCTAATGGTCCCAGATGTGTTGGCTTTGACTCTCTCAAGTTCTTAGATGGTATAACATCTTCAACACCTCCTTCATATCTTACTTTATAAGTGTCATCGTTTATGTTGTAGTCAAGTATTTCAATAACCACTCCGCTTTGCTTCGTCAATGGTTTCAGCAAGTTTGCCATTACTACTTTCGACTAATTTATGTCGAGGATAAAACGCAATAGAGTCGTCGGCAGCTTTTATAAGATATCCATTACCTTGCGTAGAGTCTACGATATAATAATTTCGACTTAACCTTAAACGTTTCTTTGTCAACGGTTTGTCGTCAAGAACTACACGAACTTTTGTACCAGGAATGAGGGTAAATTGTGTTGAATTTCTGATATTTTGTGTTTGACTTCGTTTCTTTTGTATATACTTTTCTTCTTGTTGTTGTGTCATTGAATTTGGTGTATGGCCTGTTGTAGAATGCGTTGAGGAATTATATACTTCGAGAAAATGTTTCATTGTTTCTTCGGTAAAGTCTCGCTCTTGGTTTAAATCTCTGAGCGTCCTTATGAAGCGGTTTATGATGCCGAGTATGTTATGGTTATGGTCTTCAGTAGTGTAGTGAGTTATGTTATGCTTAATGAGAAATTCTGTGATTTCATTGCTGAGGTATGCACTGTCTTGGTCTGATGTTAAAGTACTTGGGTTATGTTCTGCTACAAACTTTTGTAAAACTCTTAACACTTCACGAGTTCCTTTATTCCTCATTGGATATGCATATGCTTTACGAGTGTTAACATTAATGAAGATGAGGAATGGGTTATGTCCTCCTTTTCTGCTTTGAATGAGAGTGTCAAATTGGTATGCGTCAGGAGCGTTGGAGTAAATTGGTAAAAAGTAGTCGTAAGGGTTTATTTTTGTTTGATGTACAACATTTTTGTCAAAGAACCTTTTCACTTCAGCTCTGTTAGTAAATCCCCAACTCTTTGCAGCTTCATTGAACTTCTTAAATGACCTCCATGGATGTTGTTCGAATACTTCTTTCAAGCTCATTTATGTAAAGTTAAAGAGTTTAACCAACTCGTATCCAAGCGTGCATTGTTATATAAGGAGGCATATAATCTTTTCCATTACCTGCTGGGTCTGTAATACCAGCTACAACATGCGTATGATTTCCTGCAGTTCCACAGAAAATACCTGTGCTAACATCTTTGGGTCATCTGAGATATCATATCTATTCATTCCCATCTATCCGAACCCGCTGCAAGATTTATATAACCTCTTTTTGTTATTGAATGTGAATGGTTTCCTTCCACAGATGTTCTTCCACTGAACCTATGCATATGTGAAGGAAGGTTTTCAATACCTATTTTCTTTGAACCTCCCATCTTCATTGACTGCGTATTAGTGTAGAATGGAAAACTGTCAACTACTTCATACCATCTACCACCAAATAAAGTGTTTGGATTTATTGGATTCATAGACGTATAAACAGCTCCTATAGGATATATTAAATCATATATGCTCATAATCTATAAACATATTCTAAAGAACTTATGTCATTAAATACCATTTGGAATGTATCTCCCGGATGAAATGTTGCATTTGTTCCACTTTTATAATGTAATGTTAGTTCAATAGAATTATCCAAGAAAAATTCAAAAGTATCTGGTTGAAGACCTCTAACAAATTCAAATGGAGTTGCTGGTTTACCATTTATAATTTCTGTTGTAAATGTCATTGTATCTGGTTTCGAAAATTTCTTTGTTAGTTCTGCATCCACATAAGTTTTATCTGCTTTTTTATCTAACATTGCTGGTAGTTCATGTGTTTCAAAGTTTCTGACATGACCTTCAATGTTCATACATTTACTATTTAAGGAGTTTAGTGTATCTTTTACGCTTGTACTTGGATTCTCTAAAGGTGCACTTGAACCAAGGGTATAGTTCAATATTATGTCGTCTGCTCTAACAGTAGTGAAGGATTTATGTGTATGGTTCTTGTCGGCTTTACTGTCTAATGTAGCTTGAAGTTCATTTATATCGGAGATGCTGTGTTTATGAGATTTCAAAACTTTGTTCATTGCTTCGAGTTCAACTTTGTCAGCTTTACTTTTAATAGCATCTTCAAACGTTATTTTTGACTTAACTCTCAAAGTAAATCTTGGTTCAACTAATACACCGTTAACATTGAAAGTAGAGGCATAAATTTCACCGGTATAACCAAATGCTTCTGGTGCTTTAGCTACATCATACTGTACAGTACAGCTTATGTCATAACCTTTAGCACGAATGTATTTATATCTTCTTTCATTAACATTTTTTGTCTTCGCTTCATCACTTCGTGTTAAATATCCATGGTAGTCCGTTATAATCTGTTCGTCTGAAGTTATATAATGAACATGGTTTTTATCTGCTTTACTATTTAATGTAGCTTGAAGTTCATTTATATCGGAGATATTGTGTTTATGTTCTTTATCTGCTTTTTCGGCTAATTTCTCTTCTATCTCATTTATTTCAAGTTCATGCCTACCACCACCTCCCGAAGAAGTATTTTTCTTCAGCTCTTGAAGAACGTCCACTTCGCCATCTTTGGTGTCAATAATGAGACTTTGAGTTAAAACCTTTCCTGTCTTAATGGATGTTTGTAAAACTTCTTCTTCACCGTGTTCGGGGTCATGGTCGTCATCATATCTTGTGAAATCAGAGATGTTGTCATACATTAAGCATATCTGTCTCAAAAGTTCTGCTATTTGAAACTGGAACGAAAGATATACAGAACTTTCATCATCTCCTAAAGTCAAGTCTGCTTTCTTAAGTATTTCTTGAATGTATGCAATGAGAACAGAGTACCTTGGAAAATATTCGAACAATATTTCATTAGCTGTTGGTTTTGGTGGTTCTTCTGGAGTTTCTGCATCTCTTGACTTCAATGCTCTTGCTCTCAAAGACCTAAATGTTAGAGCACCGGGTTTTACAAAGGACTTTATAAATGCTTTAATAGTTCCTGGTAAGTTATTGTTAGCATTAAGTAAGTTCCTTATGCTTCCATCATGTACGTCCATAGCACTATGTAAAAATCTATACTTTTCTTGTAGTCAGCAATAGACTGACTGTGATTTTTTAAAGATTTGTCAATACCTTTAAGCCAATCTTCATGCATGTCTGATACTGAGCCAAGAATATCATTTGCTTCCTTTAGTGTATTTTGTGCTTCTCGTAAAGTATCCAATCCCGTACGTGCATTGTTTGCTATACGTCTTACAGTATCTATTTGACTCCTTGTTTCTTGCATCCAACCAGATAAAGTTTTAATAGTATCCGAACCATTTGAAATGAAGTTCAAAGCATTTTTAACGTCATCTAAAGCTTCTTCACCAAGTACTGCCCATATCTTTCCGATTTGGTATTGAAGAACTCCATATGAAGCAGCTGTTAAACCAGTATTTATAAGGTCCCATATCCATGATTTAGCAGTTTTTCCATCCTTTCCATCCAAACCGTTTTCGCCTTGAGGTCCTTGTATTCCTTGTATTCCTTGTATTCCTTGTGGTCCTTGTATTCCTTGTGGTCCGGTGTCACCCTTCTCTCCTTTCAGTTCATCTTTATGTTCGTTATAATATTCTAATGTCATAAGGTGTACATCATTACTGCTACCAGCAACGCCGAGAATTTGTTTCTCATTCATGACTAAATTCTTTAGGCATTTAATGTTGTCGTCAAATCGAAAGCTTTTTAACAATTCAATGAGAACATTTAATACTTTCACTATTGAGGCATCTACTGTAGAATTTATATATTGCACCGTTCCATCATTTATGATGGGAACCTTGCTTGTTGTAATGAATGGGTCATAAGTGTTAAAAGTATCGAAATCAATGACTTTTTTAGTTTTTCCATCGTCAATGACTAAATCATTGCCTTCAATGGTTAAAGTTGAGTTTTCGTTTACTAGTTCATGTGCTCTTCTTGCTTCATTTGTTTCATACGCATATGCAGCAATAGTCATATTTTAATGAGAATAAAATGTTGTTCTATTTGCAAAGTACAGACCCAAACGAATACGGGACAGTAAAGCTACAAACAAACTTAGGTCTTCAGAATGAAGCGCTTGCTTTCAGAATGGTTGACTTTAATACTATTGCTTCATTCGTTATAACTGACGAAACAGATTTCATAGAGATTGAAATAGATGACAAAAGAAGTTTTATAACATTTCCTAACAGAGCAGAGTATAGAATAGATAAAATTGCTGGAGTCATAGATACTCTCATAAATGAAGAAACTATTGACAACATAGATGTCGAACTCTCTTCTGAGGGAACATTGAAGTTCAGTAGCAAGAAAAGAGTTCAAGATAACACGAATGAGTCATAGAGTACAACTTCTTTTAGAGCATACCATATGACATTTCCTTTGAAAAGTGTTGACAAAACGATTGAGATGAATCTGTTCCATACGTATGTTATGGCAATTGTTTATACATTGAGTCTAAAATAGCTAATGTCACAGGTATTTCAGGAGTTAATAGTAAAGGTTCAGTAGAATATAAATCCTTCTGTTATGCAGTCAATTCAATGTTCATTCCAAACGTTCCTGTCATAGCAACTCATTTAGGTAAATGGGTTCGCATTAGTCCTCATAATTTGAAAGACATGCAATTCAGACTTGTTGACTTTCAAGGAGAGCCTGTAGAACTGAAGGCACCAGTGCGAATGACTGTTGAAGTTGACTTTTTAGAAAATATTAAATGCAACAGCTTACAAGAGAACTCAGAGCTAAAAATATAAAGTATGAATGTTATGTATTAGGTCATGAACTTTGGTTGTTGCTGTTTGATGAAACAAATGAGTTAGTTATGTCAGTCAAGAGAACATAAAAATATTGTGTTAGTGAAAACTGCACCAAGTCAATAAGATTAGGTTTGCATTATGAAGATGAGTTCGATACTGTTGAAGAAGTTTTGGACAGATATTACAAATTGCTAACTTGAATTTTTTGACTGACGGCGCAAAGCGCCAAGATGGGCTCAAAGAGCCCTCCTGACTGCTTTAATTTACTAAAACATATTTCAAACAAAGCTTATAGTCAGTAGATAGTTTTGTATACTCGTTCGAATATTTATACTTAAACTCAACTCCTGTAGTTCCTGGTGTTTCAATGATGCGGATGTTACCTATTTTCATGAATATTGGCGTTTGACCACAGCATTCGATTTCAGGGTCGAGATAGTCAATGACACATTGTTTCCCTGTTATTCGTGAGATAACATTTTCAAGGTCCTCCTTTGTTAGAATTATTTGGTTCTTACTTATAAGATTTGTCAAAAGCTTCTTATCGTTTTGAGTAAAATTGTTTGGTATAACTGAAGAAGGTAATGGTCTACGTTATCTGAAGGATTTGTTTGAACATTTGTGTAAGGGTTGTCGTTGGCTTCTCTTGAAAGAACTTGGTCCAGTGGTGGATACTCTAACTTAACATCTGATGTAGCGTTAGCGTTTGAAGCTGTGTTTAAATTCACCGACTTAAGATCTGGTTCTTTTTCTTTCAAACACTCCGAACTATAGTTCTTTATGACAATATTGTTTGTCGTTCGTGAGTCAACATTTGATGTTGGTTCAATTGGAACATTAACGGCACCAGCTAAGATGGATTTGCTTCTCATTTCATATAGAATAAAAACCTTTTATATGTATGAAATGAACAATATACTCGACAAGGGTTTGAATGTAAAGCTAACGAATGAAAATATTGTTGAATTCACTGAGACAGGAGCTGTGTATAAAGATGTAGAACTACTGAACAAAAGAGCAAAGGGAAGAAGCAGGAACATGAACAAAGGGTGGAAGCCTATAAAAATTTATGTCAATGATGGCTCAGGAGGTTCAAACATAAAGTATGCAGAAAGTTATAGAGTTTATGCTCTCAAAGGTGAAAAGCCTTCATTTAAGAACAGCTATTCTAACGCATATCCTCAAAAGCTAACGGATGGGGAAGTGGATGATATGAATGAAGCAAAAAATATTAACAGAAAATGGCGACAGAGATGCATGGAATTTGGTTTACCATCAGTCAATTGAAGGTTAAATTTTAAAACAATGTTGGTCGTTCCCATGGAATATTTTTGACTTTAATGGTATTAGTCATGATATGAAATCTCAAGGTATGAACGAGGAGAGATGAGAGACTTATATGCTTCCCAAATTTCTTCAAAAGGTAATGTTTATACCTGACTGTTTCCAAATGAGTTCAATATCATAGCGTGAGAAACCTTGAAAGATAACGAAGTCAGTTATGAGACGTTTTTGTTTAAAGCAAGGAAACGCCATGTTTGCATAAGTATTGCTACAGTTAAATGGTAATGTCTGACTTTAGTTATGATGTTAGCTAATGGTGAGTCAGGCTTTGACACTAAACCTTTTCCGGCGAAGTCGTCACAAACGAGCAGAGTGTTTGAAGGATACTTTTTGAAGGGGTATTTTGAAAGTTTTGATAGAATGTAGTTTGTCAGTCGTTTCATATCGTAAACTCCTGAGTACTGACGTAAGTGGTGTTTGTCAATAATTCTTTCCATCTCCTCAGAAGTCTTTTGCATTCCTGACTGTATGAACTCTACGATGGCATAATATTTCCTCTTACGTCGAATGTAACGTTGAAGAAATTCAATGAGTTCACTGTCTGGAACTTTAACGACAGAGGCTTGAACTTTTGACATGAATGTTTTCGCTGTTGAGTCCATAGAGTCTGAAGTTGCTGATATAATGATTTGGTCATAATATGAGTCATTTCCTAAATTCTGTTATGAGTATATGACGAATGAGGTTAAATGTCTTACCTGAACCCATCTTTCCACAATAGAAATACACACCATTTGAACAGAACTCATAGTCCTTACTGAAAGGAAGAATGAGAGAAGAGTTAAGTTTGTCTGTAGTTTCATTCATGTCTTCATCTACGTCATGTATTAAATGCTTCATTTTATCTCCATTAAAAATGCAAGTCAGAAATATTCAGAACATAGCACCGAGTCTAACTGACAAGAGTATAAAGATATACTATGAACACGTTATGATGAAACCTACCAAAATTCAAGAAAGTCAGTATACTTATGAATATCCAAGACACTGGGTAGAGTATGTAGGAGGTGAGAAAGCTATTGAAATCAGACAGGTTCGAAGTATTCCAGCAGGAAGAACAATATTATTGAAGAACTTTAATGTTTTGAGGTATAATGATGAAACAAAGAAGCAAGATAGTTTTCCTGTTGCTGTGTATGTGAACTTAGATACAGGAGATGACATGAAAGTTTTTAATACAAAGCTTCAAACGGTAGTGAGAGAACAACTGACTGCGGAAGGGCATCCATTACCTTCAGAAGTTACCATAGCATATAATTTTGAAACAAACTCAATAGATTTTAAAGTCATCTCTGCAAAGAAGTCAGGTTTTACATTTAATGAAGCAGATGTATATTCGAATGAAAACTTCAAAGCTATTGCATGGTTAGATAATGACGATTGTTTTAAGAAAATATTTAAATACAGTGACTCAAAGATGTCAATAGATGACCTTCGTGGAATGTTACCATCGACGTTTACAGTTGAAGGTTCAGCAGGATTGCTTACAAGATTGTCAATTGGTGGTATTTGGTCTCGTGAGAACATTGTTATAAAATCCAGTATAAGTGAATTTGCTGAAGAATCTATATTATGTCTTTCAAACTACATGTATTCGCCGCCGAAGCATTATAGTATAACAAACTTTGTCAGTAAGTTTAACATAAGACTTGTCGAACCTTCTTCAATGAAAGATGTTGTGCTACCTAAAGATGGAAAGGATGGACTCATTATTGAGATGATTTTAATAGCATATTAAATGAGCTTGTTCTTGAAGGTCATTCATGATGAAATAACTGTTGTAGAAGATGTTAGCAATTGTTCAGACATTTTGAAGCGTATAGATGATATAAGAAAGAAGTTAGATAGACCGCAAAGCGGTGAGGGCGAAGCCCGTGAGAACGCTTATGTTTCATTGACTTTCTCCAGTAACGAGAACTTTTATGAGATAATATTGAAGAGAGATGATTTTAATATGGTGTAAATGGTAGCTTGGGCAGCTTTAGGCGCAATGGGAACAAAAGCATTAGCATTTGGAGCAAAAGCACTTGGAGCTTATGACGCAGTAAATAAAATGAGTGGAGGAAGGGTTTCGAAGACATTAGATGCAAATAAAGGGAAGATTGGAGGCTGGGTTGCAAAGAAGTTAAGATTAAATAAAATAGGGCTCATAAATAAAGCATCCAATTTGGTTGCGACTGAGTCAGAAAATGCTTTAGGAAAGGACGATGAGTTTGCAAAACACGCAAAAGACTTTAATGACCAGATGAAAGGTAAAACAATGCATTTAAATAGAGTCGATGGAACTAAAGAAAATGTTTCTTCTCCACCAGTAGTTCTTCCGTATGGTCCCTATGGAATGTATGGAAACCCTTACGAAAGACCATTTGACCCATTGACTGGTGGAAGTAATTGGTATCATTACGGACGAAGAAGAAAGACAGTCAAGTTGGAGACAGACGTGAAGAAAGCAACTAAAAAGAAACCAAGGAAGAGAGTTATAAAGCAATGAATTCAAGTGGGTGAAAAAAGAGGTGAAAAAAGAGGTGAGATCTCACCACTTCACCTAAATTTAAATGGATGTTTTCATACGTGTGAGGGTGGTGAGATCATTTATTTTTTATTTTATTTTTAAGTTTATTTTTATATAAATGACGAAAACTATTGAGATAACAAACTACAACGGTCATGAGTTCAAGAATTTGTTCTTCGTTCCTCGTGAAAATACATTCTATCAGATACGAGGGAGAAAGGGTAAAGTTAGTTTGAGCGTTTATGACTACAAGCATAATGGAAAGTTTATACAAGCATATGATACAAACGGTAAGCGTGTTTCATTAGCTTTGTCAAAACTTACAGGTATAAACTATGACAGTGATTTTGACCTATATGAAGAAGAAAGTGAGTCAGAAGATTATGAGCTGTTATATGAAGCACAGCAATGGGAGGAGTTGCAATACTTTTGTAAGTGAGAACGTTTATTTTTACAGTAGTGAAGTCGTTTGTGAAAACGTTAGTGAAGTGGTTGGCGGCTTTATAAATATTTAATGTTAAGTTGGTGTTGTCGTTTGTGTTGTAAAATATACGTTAACGGTTTCGTAAAGTGTCAAATTCACATAACAAGGGTAAGGTGGAACGCAGTGCCTCCGTACCCATGATATGTATACTAACTCACTGTGGTCCATCTAAAATTTGTAAACTTTATGACATAAAATTATATTATATGCAGGATCCCACCTATTACTTAATCTTTTTGGAATAAATGTTTTATAATATTTATCGATTGATTGTAATTTTTTGTATAAAAAAAGTTTTTTATTTATATTAAAAATATATTCGGTTAATGATATTATCTTATAATTTGTAAATAAATCTAGTAATAAAATAACTTTAATAGTTGGTGTCACTTTTTCGAAAATTCTGGTTTTTTCATGTTCTAGATTACTAGACATTTGATTTGTAGAAGGATGGTTTTGATTTTCTGGTTCTAAATCTGTAGAGTCTGCAATATTTGAATTTTCGGAGCGAATTGGAGCATCTGAACCTTGATTTGTATCGGCTTGCTCAAAATTAGTTTGAATTGGAGTGGATGAATTAAAATCTGGATGATTTATGTTTCATTAAATAATGCCATAATTTTTTTCTCTTTTTTCATTAATATACTTAGTGATCATTGTATCTTTTATCTGTTAGATCGATCGATTTGAGTATATCTGCATCATGAACTGGAATATTTTCGAACAATGAACTCGATTCTATGGAACCATATGGAGAAATCTCGTTCTGAGCCAAAGAAAGATCACACTTACGTTGTATTGTTTGATAGAAAAAATTGTTTTCTCAAGTTCTTTTTGAAAGCAGTCAAGAATATAATTTTTTGTAGCTATCAGTGATAACGGTTTTTATATGGCGCTCGATCTTCTGGTTATTTTTGATGGCGTTATATTTATCTAATTGGATTTGAGATATCTTCTTAATAGCTTCATAAATGTTTGGATGTTTTAACGAAGAAAATTCTGAATGCATACTCTCGAGGCAATCATTAGTGAATATTGCAGTTGCATTATTATATTGAGATATTAAATTGTAGTGCGGCAACCAAACTTTGTTGAAATAATCAATATAATCTTTGATCGAATCAACTTTATTTTGATTAATTATATGCAATGTAAGTACAAATTCTTCATGAGACATGAATGGAGTAATAGAATATAGCTTAAATAAAGAATTTTGTAAAGTATTGAAATTTTTTTGTATAAAGTGCTACAAGTTTCCTGTGTAAAGCTTGTTTGAAATGAAATAGGCATCCAATTATACGGACTTTAGGGAAAATTTGTTGAAGTGCCTCTATCAGTCCCTTTTCAAAATCACAATGAATTTGAATTAGCTTTGAAAATTGAATACCCTTGACAGTAAAAATATATTCAAATGCCTTCTTATAAGATTCAAATGTGCGGTTTTTCATGAATATAAATAAAAGTGGTAGATATTGATTTGTTGAAGGTTCACAAATCATAATTGTTAGCATCTGTCCTTTTTGAAAATGTTTTGGTGTAATTTTAAAAGTTCCATCGCAAAATAAATCTGTGGCTTCTTTTGCAAATTGAATTGCCTTCTCAAAACCAAAAAAACATCGTCTCACAATTTGCTTGAAAATCATGGCCAATGAAAAACTACTCGCCATTTATTAAACAAAAATTAGCAATTTCATCGTCTGTAATTTTTTCTCCAACAGAAAATTTTCTGGACTTATTATAAACTTCCCTGACCAATGAATCTTTAATTAATGGGTTTTCATCAGTACCAACAGCAAGTTCTGTCATAAATTTTTTAATCTGCTGAAAAGGGCAAACCCAAATTTTAGCTAAAAGTGACAGGGGAAAAAAACGTTTAGTATTAAAAAAAAGACCGATGAGAGCTTCGTTCGAAATATAGAGGGAACTGAGAATGCGCAACCATTCTCAGGGAATATTAGATGCTATTCCCGTTCCCTCTGTATGGAAAATTGAGGTTTTCAAAGGGAGTTAAGATAATATCAAATTTATACTAATTTACTTCAAAATACAAAAGTATTTGACAGCTAAAATTAGTTACTTTAGCAAGCCTATCAATACCCTTTTACGATTATTGCTACTTTTTCGAAATAAAAGTAAAAACAAATTTATACTAATTTACTTCAAAATACAAAAGTATTTGACAGCTAAAATTAGTTACTTTAGCAAGCCTATCAATACCCTTTTACGATTATTGCTACTTTTTCGAAATAAAATAAATTTATTATCAAAAACCTTTTTTTTTCTTAGTAAAAATAAACGAAATTTTTTACCTTATGAACTTTTGATGGAAATATGCAAATTTAAAATAATAAAGAAAGCCGCGAGCGAAGCGATCGGCTTAGTTCGAAGATTTTGATTCAAATCTTTGCTGATCTGTAATTCGCGGAAGCCGCGAGCGAATCGAGCGGCTTAGGTCTAAGATTTTGATTCAAATCTTTGCTTATATTCCTTAAATTCTTTATGAAACTCGCAACAGTTCCATAAAAAATTTTAAATTCTAAACTGTCGAAATTACCGATCGGTAATCACACCCTTCACGGTGTGTCACTTTTTACAGGTGTGTCACT